TCACTATATTTAACCTATAAGACAAAATCGCATAAATAACCAAGCATATTGTCCTTCACTAAATCTTTAAGCAAGGAAGCAACAGTCTGGACGTATATTCTGCATCGAATCGAGGACAGTTATCATATTTACTGAGAGAGCATATATCCGAGGGTAGGATTAAGAGAGCCGTCCAATCTTCATAATTGAGCCTCACCTCATTTACCTTAAACGTTCATTATCCTAGCACTGAGACATAGCCATGGATAACTTAGGTTATGTACTACTGTATATGAGCATCTGTCACATAATATAATTCCACCTATACTACCCATAGAGTAAATAGGTATTTTTATCCACCCAGAGTCAGATTGGACTTCATACCTTAACAGATCACATATTATATTGCTCGTTGGCGTTCTGTGATTTATATCACACACTAATCACGTAGGATAGTTATATTAACATCTGATAAATACATATGTACAGTCTGCGGTGGTTGAATATGAAAGGATAAGTATTCAAGAAAAGGGCCCTAAAAGAATTTGGCAGTAATCGCCCGCGTGCGGAGGGATGGCATCGTCGCCGAAATGCTTCAGTCGTATCCCGAAGCTCAAAAGAACGTTTAGAGGCCGGGCGTGTTCGGTGTGTAATTTCCTGATCTACAAGCTGTGCATTCTTCAGTTAGAGGTGAGATGTGTGAAACGTAATCCATAGGAAAATAAAGATAAGAAGTGTGTGTGTGTGTGTGTGTCAGTGTGTGTGTGTGTGTGTGTGTGTGTGTGTGTGTGTGTGTGTGTGTGTGTTGTTGTGTGTTGTGTGTGTGTGCGTGCGTGTGTAATATATGTCAAAGTTTTTCTTGGTAGAACGGAGGCTTAGTAGATGAGCCCGGGTTTATATTATTTGCAATAATACCACAATGGACTTACGTAGCTTAGAGAAATTTAAACTTGAGGGGACAGTGGAAACTCGTATTTCTAGGATGCTGTCGCGTACGAGTGTCTTGTTACACGCACTTCAAAAACGTCAAAGACACACCGCCACAGCCCTGAAACAGCGGCATGGGTTACGAGAATAGATGAGTTCAAGAGGAGGGCAGTCACCAATGTTCTTAGACTCGATTTATACAAGGCTTATAGGGTGTGGTATGCACTTACACCAAAAATGGGTTGCTATCAGGCGACGCATTTTTTTAAAGTTTGCCCTGAAATAAGTGGGAACAGAAAATGTGTTCACCGAGAGCCGACGTGACGGGGGCGCATAGCCGCATCCAAGGTCTATATAAGTAGTTATATAGTCCTTGGCCGCATCCACTCTTCGTTTCCATCGTTGGGGATCCCTCATGGCGAACTGCAAATAGGTCCTCGGCCCTTATTTAGCTCTTCATGACAGGTCTGGTCGAGCTGCCCAAGCTACGGATTCCTGGTCTTCCCACGGGCCTCTACGCAGGATTGTCTCGCAAAGGGAAACGCGATAGGTGCCCGTGTAGTCTGAGTTGGCCGTCACAGATTAGGCAATTAATAGGTCCCGTGCCCGCCTCACGGTGTAGTCGTTCGTTGGACACATGGTCTGCCAACTGTGCCCCATGATCCAGGGTAGGAATTTGTTACAAAAGGCCTCGAGACGCAACTCCAAGTCACTAGGTAGCGTTACTTCCATGTAGCAAAAATGACAATATCAATACCTTGAATATGTGTAACATCCCTGCATAGGTACCGACACCTTCAAACTCTTGTTGACTGAGGACATGGTTCTACCTGATGCCAGACCAATCCGTCTACGAGGACCGAGCCTAGAATTCGTTCTATTTTTAGTCCAAGTGATCGCCATTACCTGGGAACGCATAGCTATCAAATCGTTATACTATATTTAATCGTTACCTATTGTATGATTGCAATTGTTAATTGCCTGGTTTGGCACAAAAGAAAATATATTCGTACTATTAAATTGTATACGCGATATACTAGATAAGCAATATATTTTTTAAACTATATAGCAATTTAATGGGTATAAGAAGTTTTCTTTATAACTAGTTTCGTGAGACCATAAAAAATGGAACTTTAGACAATAGGCAGTTGTAAGTGCCATATTTCTGTTAATATCTAATTTATATACCTCTGAAGCTCACAATCACCACCGCTCATAACTTATCATATTGACATAAGTCCATTGAGTTGTTATTGGCATATATATATATAACAACCAATATATACATATAATAGCTACACATATATATGATATATACACACACCATAATATATAATGGAATAGTATAATATCTAATCACTTATGCACTACGATGGAACTCACTACGAAATTAGGTGACAATTTTATAAGAATTCCGAGATGGGAATTAAAACTAATATTAAGTATGCGCAATATAACATATATTTATATGTCCTTCGAGTAGCTTAAGGTGAAGCGATTAGTAATTTTTTTTAATAATTAATTTAATTAACATAATATATATTTTGGTATCCCTATGAACGTAATATCTCTTATCAGTTGTTAGGGCTTATAATTATGCGAGGATATTAAATCATAAAATAAATATAAAATTAAGGATATAATAAGCGTGTTACACAATATATACACCCGCGCACGCACACACACCAAACTACACACATACAACAAATTACTACAATATATATATATATATATATGACACACACTATGGCCCTATACCTAAACATATATACTATACTATGAGCCAGAGCCCTATAAACAATCTATATAAGGTACCCCACTAGCACACTAGCACACAATATATATTATATAAATATTAATATACTATTATATAATATGGAACAATATATATTATACATAGTATAATGTAACTTACTAAACACACTGATAGTATATATACTAACGCACGCATTATAGGGTCACCACATAACATATTACAACACGTCTAACACAACATACAACACACACACACCATCAAACACACAAACACACCACCACAATATAATATAGTACATATGATATAATACAGTACATATATAACATCACATCACACACGTAACATACACATATATACCATACATACACACACACATCTATATAACAAATATAAATATCACCCATCAACACACATACAATGAGCAAGAATTATCCCGAAATATCCTATTACATCATTGACATAACATAAATTATAAGTAAAGAGATTAAGGAATGTCGTGACCAATATCAGTTCGCTAATAGGACTACATTCCCAAGAAGTCCGTGAAAAGGATACAGAGTATAATAAAAACCAAAAACTATATATAACCGCACACAATATATCTGGATCAATATAGCGAAGCGGTCACCAAAGGGAGTCCTCGACCAAAATCAACGAACAAACACACTTATTCCATTGATAAGGTCAGGTTATTTTTATACATAAATAAATTATCAGTTTAAATCTATAAGACCATTAACTACTACTCCATTCATCCCTCGTTATACTATACATCTGACGCAGTAGATACGGGTCGACGCAACGTTCTGAGTCAACGCTGCTGCTTTTCTTCAACATAAAAGACATACGTATTAGTGATACAATGCAAGGTAATCTGTCCCTAGAAGGATAGGTAGGGAGAATACTGCGAATGGGCCGCTATGAGTCTATGTCAATATGGGATTCTTTTATACTAATGGAGTGCAATAGTCTGATACGTGAGAAAAGGCACCATGTACTAAACGTAATTACGGCATTATATATCTATACCTTTATATTATGGTACGCATAACTTTGGAGCGGGGGGAGGTGAGGGAGATACTCATGGCACTACTAGTATATTATGTACATATATATATATACCATATGTATAAATATATACATATATATATTACATATATTATATAATATGTAATGTATGTATGTATATAAAACATTGTAAAACCATATACCTAATAATACAACTAATAACATCACAACTAACACAATATACTAAATAGTTATACATATATGTTACAATATATATACATCTATAACACACATACACACACATATAATATAACACACATAATGTATATACAATATACTACAACATCATCACACATCTACACACACACTAACCAATAATAATATACATATTATATATACATATATATATACAATAATATATATTGATTATTAATATATAAATATTAAATATATATATATTATTATATACAAATGGTATATATTATATATTTATATATATATTAATATAAATATGTATATAATATAATTAATATATACATATTATGTAACATATAATACATATTATATATATGCTATTATAAT